TCTAAATACCCCACTTTTACCAATAGATAGATTAATCTCCTAGAACAGAAAATAATTGGTGATACAATAATACTAAACAAGGAATTGGGGCCCTCCCTAGTGACATAGTGGGTTAAACCACAGCACTATGAAGCTGTTATAGCCATTGCAGCACGAGTTCCATCTCCTGCCACGGAGGTGACCCACATGACGTGGCAAACCTCTCCCGACCTGTCCCCTGCTCAACTCAGCTATGTATTTTAGTAGATCTGCCTGTTCGGTTCCCCACTCTATCTCTGGTGACTCCTATTACCCCCCACACCACTGACGTGTACCCCAGTACTTGTAAGCATAAATTAAATATATTTTAAAACAAACAAACAGGGAATTGGACCCGAAAGACCCAATAGACATTTACCGAGCACTGTACCCTCCTAAAAAGCAGAATACACATTTTTCTCAAGTGCACATCCTTCAGAATAGACCACATTTTGGGACACAGAAAAAAATATCAACAAGTTCATGAAGATTGAAATACCTAGCATTTTCACGGATCATAAAGGTATCAAGCTAGGAATCAACCATCAAAAGAAAGCAGGGAAATTATTTAATGTATGGAGATTGACTAACCCACTTCTGAAATACTATGAATTAATGAAGAGCTAAAAGAAGAAATCAAAATACCTTGAGAGAAATGGTAAGTAGGATGAACCTATCCAAAACCTAGGTGATGCAGCAAAAGTGTACTAAGAAGAATATGTAGTGATACAGGCTTACATCAAGAAATAAAAAAGCACCAAATGAATATTATTCTTTCTCAACTTGAGGAATTAGAAAAAGAACAAAAATGGTAGAAAGGAAAGCAGAGCTAATTGAAATAGAAATGAAAAAATAGATTCCAATTAAAAAAGTATATGAAATAGGTATGGACATTATGTAATAATTAAGGACAGTATACATCAGGAAGATATGATGATAATCATCAGTGTATACTCACCAAATGAAGGAGCACCTTGATTTGTTGCGAAATAAACAACAAAACCAAAAGCCAGGTCTCTTGGAAAAATAAATATTGACAAATCTCTAGCAAGGCTCATCAATAAAATAGAGAAATCTCAGGGTAAAAAATGAAAGGAAAAATCACAGCAAATGGCTAGAGGGTAATTCTAGAACATCTTCACACTAACTTATCCTGGAAAAACCTATCACAAATAAGGAAACAAACAAATTCTCTCAAAAAACAAGTCAGATAGTTTCAAAAGTGAATTCTACCAAACCTTTAAAAATGAACTAAAGCCTATCCTGCACATTCATAAAGTTGAAAAAGAAGGAATACTTGCAAATACAACTTTTGAGGCCAACCAAAATACCAGAATCAAAAAAAAGACAACACACTGAAAAGAATATTACAGACCAATTTCCCTAATGAACACAGATGCAAAAATCATTAATAAAGTCCTAGCAAATGTATTAAAAAGATCATACACTATGACCAAATTGGAGTCATGCCAGGAACATCTGGAACTCAATTGAATAATCACATCAACATACAGATAAAAATCATTTGATTATTCATAGCAGTACATGCTGAGAACACTTTAGATAAGATCCACCATCCATTTATAATAAACACTCTTGAAAAACTGGAGATAAATAGAACACACCTTAACATAATAAAAGCCATTTGCAACAAACTCGCATCTACTGTCCTTTCCAGTGGTGAAAAACTGAAACCTTTTCCACTAAGATCTGGTACAAGGGAAGGATGTCCACTCTCCTTAGTGCTATTCAACATAATTCTGGAAGTCCTAGCTAGAGCAATTAAGCAAGAGGAATATATAAAAGGAATCCAAATTGGGAAAGAAGTAGTAAAACTATGATAATATACATAGATGACATGATAATATACATAGAGAACCCTCAGTATTTCACAGAAAAAATGAAACAGTTTATCAAAGTGGCAGTATATATGTCACACAATAATTGCCTTTCTCAAACAATGAAAAAAAGGAAAAATTAAGAATGTTATCCCATTTATGATCACAACATAAAAAATGAAATACGTAAGAGTAAACCTAACAATGGTGGCAAAACAATCCATGCCAAAAAAAAAAAAAAAGCTATAAGACATTTGCTTAAAGAAATAGAAGACACAAAGAAATGAAATAATATTCCCTGCTAATTGTTTGGAAGAATCAATATTTTCGGAATGCCCTACCCAAACCAGTATACAGAATCAACGTAATCACAATGAATATACCAGTGGCATTTTTCAGAGAACGGGGACAAACACTACTGAAATTCATATGTAATTACAAAAGACCCCAAATAGCAAAAACAATTCTGACAAAAAGAGAATAGAGGTATTATATAGACTCCAGGCCTCAAATTATTTTATGAAGCCATAGTAATTAAAACAGCTTGGTAATAGAGCAAAAACAGACACACAGATTAGTGGAATAGAATTATGAGCTCAGTAATAAACTCACACCTCTATGAACAGTTAATCTATGACAAAGAAGCCAAGAACATATATTGGAACAAGGACAGCCTCTTTAATAAATGGTGTGGGAAAAACTGGACAGTTGCAATGCAAAATAATGAAACTACACCACAATCTCACATAAAACACTAAAGTCAATTCACGATACATAAATATCGAAGATTGGATATAAGACCTGAAATACATATAAAATAACATAGGCCTAACATTTCACTACATAAGCTTTAGTGGTATATTTAAGGATGCATTCCTCAACAGCAATGAAAACAAAAGAACAGTGGAGCTTGCATCAAGTTAACAAGGTTCTGCACAGTGAAAGACATAACATAAATGAAAAGACATACTACTGAATAGGAGAAAATATTTGCATACCATATATCTGACAAGGGACTCCTGTCAGAGCTATACACAGATCTCTTTTATAAAATAACCCAATCAATGGGCAGAAAATTAAACAGATTGCCAAAGTAGATATGCACACTGCATACATGCATATATGAAAAAGATGGTCACCAATACTTACCCTCATTGAAAAGCAGATCAAGACCACAATGAGAACATCTCACACTGTGAGAATGACTCATGTTGAAAGATCAGGAAAAAACAGTGCTGTTGAGGATGTGGAGAAAAGGAACCCTCCTCTACTGGTGAGAATACAGACTCTTCTAGCCCTTATGGTAACTAGTGTGGAGGTGTTTCAAAGCATTCAAATGGCTCTGCCATGTGATGTGGTAATTTCACTCCTAGGCATCTACTTCAAAGTGACAAAAACACTAATTTCCAAGGAACATTGTATTTCCATGTCTGTTGCTGTACTATTCGCTATAGCTAATTTGTGGAAACAACCTAAGTGCTCCAAAACAGATGAGTGGATCAAGAAGTTGTAGATACACAGTGGGATATTACTCAGTCATCAAAAATATTTGATAAACTCTTGCTGTTTTGACAATGTGATTAAAGCTGGAAGGGATAACTAAATGAAATAAGTCAAAAGGAGAAAGGTAAATACCAGATGGTGTCAATAATGTGTGGAATATTAGAGTAACCAAAGTTAGAGTCAATTTAAAAATGAACCCTTCAAAGTTAACTACAGAGTTGAAGTGTCCAGAGGAGGGAGGGGAAAGAACAAAGAGGAAGAAAACACAATAGACTATGGGTTATTTTGTGGTAGGTGCACTATAGTGGGAATACTTGATGGGGGTAGCCTAGTATTGACTCAATTAAAAATAAATTAATTAAAAAGAATAGTGCTATGTTACATGAACCAGCTGGTCTAAAGTCTTGATTTAGAACACAAAATCAAGCTCAAATCTGCGTTCGGAGCAGAGATCAGAACTCTTGATGTCCATTGTTACGGTGTCCAGGATCCTTTTAGGAGAGGGTCAAAACCTTGGCTTGAAAAAACTTTGACTGGCATAGAAAAATCTTTAGAATTAGCAACAAAATTAAAATTCTTATAATTTTGACAAGTAAGTCTTTTACTTTAATTTCTAACCAATCAGCGTTGTAATCAGCATTGGTATGATCATGGTCCCTAAATGAAGCACCTTCCTGACTACTGGTGGGGCGCAGACCGGTCCAGCTCTTATGGAAAGCTTATTTTCTGATTTACTTCATTTACGGAATGATTCAGTTAATCATACAGACTGGTGTAGGACTGGAGCATGAGATACTAGTTCTGGGGTGAAGTACACTCCTCGCCTCTTGCTCTTAGTGTTCCCATTCTGCTGCCTCAGCCAATACACTTTCTGTCCACTGTTTTATATATTCATACTTTGACTAGATTACATACAGGGTGCCAGACGGTCCCTAGGATATTTGTGAGGATTTTTCTCACAGTCACAGCCCACTATAACAGTAGATTAACTCTTTCAAATCATTCAGTAGCACTAATTTGGTAAATAGTATCTTTGTGTTCTGGGAGAAATAATTAACTCTTTACATGTCTAGTTTGAAGGAGCAAATTAATTAATTACCTTTTTCTAGCTCAGTGCTTGTTAGAGTTACTGATAAGTCATGTTAGTCTTTTAATGTTTTGGACCAAGGCACTGTAAATTGAGATGCTCTGTAAATTGTTATTCTTAGAAACATCACAGTCAGAAAGCTTTATATAAAATAGTGTTTCTCAATAAAATGTAGAGTGGGGATGTAGATGTAAGGGATGATTTGTCCCTTACAATTTTGAGAGAAACTCTTTGGACTGTCATGGAATTATGTTCCCTATGTTATTAATATAATAATAATTTTCAACATCTAAGAATTTGAAGTTTTTTTTATAACTAAGAAATGTTAACATTGTGTTGCTAATGTGGGACACATAGTTTTGATTGTTTTCTCTTAAGGAAAATTTGCTTAAAATGTTTCCTTTAACAAAAAAACCTTACATACTGTTAGAAAAGCTATCTCAACTGCCCTTTCTTAGGCAGAAGATAATTTATATTCTCTGTTGCTTCCCTTTTAGTTTGGCCTGACAATGAACATAATATGTCATTAATGTAAATATATTATTTCCTTTTAGGTTCCCATCCTTAGTAAAAAAGAAGATGTTTTTGCTTATTTAGCTAAATATTCAGTGCCAATGGTTCGAGCAACATGGCTGATCAAGATGACTTGTGCCTATTATTCTGCTATTTCTGAAGCTAAAATTAAGAAACGTCAGGCTACCGATCCCAATTTGGGTAAGTGAGATAGTTTGATAGATTTTACATTTTCTTATTGGTTCATAATTGTTGCCTTCATTTTTACAGATTTTAGTGAGACAAGTACAGCTTGTTGTTTTGCAGGGGAAACAAAAGAACTATCTTTTTACTACCAAAGTAATCCATTCTTTTTACAAAACCTTCAAATGGTACTGAAGTAGGAATAATACAGTCCACAAATTTCTCTTCTTTTTCCTTCTTGTTTCCCCTCTTGAAGTTCCCTTCATTCAATGTGTGTAAAACACAAACATACGCAGTTTTGTTTTATTCATCTTTCTCTGTCTCTGTGTGTCTGTCTCTCTCTATATACACATTAAAGGTACTCATTAATTTAGTGTTAATGTTAGTTTGGTATTTATGAATACTTTCTCCCAGAGATAGAGATATTAGTTACTTACTTTTCCCTCTACTTTGATGAATTATAGGCAACTGAAATACACACACACACACACACACACACACATAAAGAGAGAGAGATAGAGAGAGCAAATCAAAATTCATTTCTCACCATTCCTAACTTGTCCCTCCCTCAAAATTCTTATTAAGTGCATTTGATGTCACTAGATTGATTTATCTTTCCCTCAAAACTCTTATATTCTGTCCTTCAGCAGTAAACAACTTTGTTTTCAAAGTACAATCAATTTGACAGCATACTTCTCTTTCTGTGGCTGCTGTGCTGACCCAAACCAGCACTACCATCTTTACTGCACTGTAGCAGGCTGATGGCTAACTGGTTTCTGTTCTGGCTCCTCAAATGCCAACTTTCTGGTTGGGCACTCCCTGTTCGAACTCAGTCATGCTGTATACTGTGTGTCCTCTCACTCAGGTGTGTTCATCAGAGTGTGGAGCTTTGGGTGCCTCCCCCTCCCCAACCCCCCACCTTTAGATGTCCACATGGCCAGTCCTCTTCCCCACTGCAGTGTTAGCTCAAATGGCACTTCCTTAGTCCCTCCACCTAAAAACATCATTACTCCTTTACTCTGTTGTATTGTTCTTCAATTTTCTTCATGTTACATTTTGAGTGGCTGGTTATTTAAAGCAAAGTCTTACCCAGATACTGTTCTCAGTGGTGGTCCAGACCACAGTCTTACTCCCTTTAATTGCTTTACCCTTTTAAAGTCTGGAACAGTCCACCAGTCTCTCTTTTCCTTTCCCTTGATATTTGTGAAGGGGAAAAGGATCAGTTATATTTTAGATTGTCCAATAATTTGCATTTGTCCAGTTCCTTGTGATTAGAGTCAGCTTATGTGCTTTGGGAGGGAATACCATGCATGTGATTCTGGAACATTGCTTCTCACAAAGCCATACTACGATGGTGATAAATTGGATCATTTGGGTAAGGTGGTGGTTACCAGATTTTACCCTGTTTAAAATAGCAATATTTTGACTTATGTAAATACTCAATTCTTCTTGCTGTTCTTAGGTGTTTTCATAATGCAAGTGTAGCATTTTATTTATAATACATGAAAAGGGCACATGTTTAAAATATATGGCCTTGTTTTACTACTAGTTTATTGAATTTGATATGTCTTTACTCTTTGTCTTCAACATCTTCACTTTCCTTATGCAAATTATTTACTAAATTTGGAAGCATTTGGCTTTATAGACACAGGCATAAAATAACAAATTCTAATGCCAAGCAGGCATGCACCTATTTTGTGTGATATTTGGATTAAATGACATACACTTCAGAACTTCATTAGAGGTGAGTTAGGGATCCTAGGCGAAAGATCCTATAAGTTATTATTCTTTATACATTTCAGAACATTCAGTAGTAGATTCAGTGTAGTTTTGGGTTTAACAGTGATCTTTGGGGTAAGGTGAACTGTTGTCATCCTTTCTGGTGATGGTTTTATGACTTCCTTTGTTTTGATGACTTTAGGATTTGTAAAGTGTTTTCAGGAGCAATGGCCTTTTCATTTCTTTTGTAATACAAGCATGTTTTATCTTTAGTTCTCACAATCAGCATTGGAACCCAGCTATAAGGCACTACTATTTGATTTTATTGAGGGGAGTTTTTCCCAAAGTCAGGTGGGCCAACTGCAACAAGGGAGTAGGACCCATTGAGTAAGCTCATTCAACAGAGAAACAGATTTTTCAATATCATTATGCAGACTTACATCTACACTGTAGATTAAGTGGATGCTGCTCTGGCCCACAGTTGGTAAAGACATATACAGGACACTGTATCCCCATAAACTCAAGAGAGGGGACTTGAGTTTATGTAATTTCAAGGAGGTTAAAGAAATGCTTGACTTGGACAAATTCTAAGGCAAGTGAAAAAAATTTAAAATAAAGATGAATTAGAAATCATTGGAGGAAGAGATTATAATTTTTTAGTCCTTATATGACTTGTAAAAAAATCAGAGATAAGAATAGCTTGATATGATATTCAGAAAATGCTATCAAATGGGTCAGTATCAAATGGGTGAGGAAGAGAACAACAGATATAATGCATATTTGGTTTTAGGTTATTTTGACATTTGTCTTTAGGAGAACAGGAATATTTAGCAGTCTGACCTGAGAAAATGTTTAAAATGGGCTGACCAACTCTGAAAAATAAAAGTTTATAACTCAGTGATAGAATTAAAGTCTCTGAACAGGATAGGAAAAACAAGTTGATATTTGTATCACCAAACTTTGTACATTTATTTGTAAGAATTTTTCCTTTGAGGAGTCTTACTGTTGTCAAGACAACTAATAACTGCTCTGCTATCTACTGTCACACTGCTGTCACTGTAACACCATTTCTGGAGTTATTACGGATTTCCTGCGTCATGTGAGGGAGGAGAACCGTGCTCCCTGTGAACCTGGCTTAAACCACATGCTGTGCAAATGCTTGCAGTTTTGGGGAGGTTGTCAGCCTAGGGGATTCCTCATCCATTTGCTGTGGGACCCTCGTGCTGTGTTTACTGTTGGCTTGTGTGAGAGCAGCCAAGTCCTTCAGGTCTGTTGGCCTTTCAGGGCCTGCCTTTCTGCCGAGAGCACTGTGATGTGTGGTTATGCCGCATGTTTCATTTCATCAGTAGACAGTTGCAAAGTTCTATGTATATTCTGTCCATTTTCTGATTTATTTTCTGTGTACTCTTGATATCTGTCTTACCATTTTACAGATGAGAATGCAGTGCATGTGGTGGGTATATAGGGCCACCCAGTATAGTTCTAGACGAGACTCAGAGGCCTGTGCTGACACCCTACTAGTTAGCGAAGACAGAGAGGGCCTTGAACTGTTCACAGTTTAGGTGGGGGGACTGTATCAAACCATCTAGAGAAGTAAGGAAGTACTAACAATGAAATGAACTAACTGAGGAAGGAGTTCCTGCAAGTCCCAGCAGATTCACAAAGGAAGTGAATTATAGTTTTGGAAAACAAACATTTCCCAGGAGGCTGTAGCTGGCATTTTTTTTTTTTATGCTGGGAAAAGGCATTTCTGGCAAAAGGATGGTGAAAGTGAAGAAATAGAGCCTTCAAATAGTTTAACCTATGGAGCAACAGGTTTTATTTTATATTTTGCAGTTGTTATATGAGTTTTCAGCACTGCCAAGAATACAATGGTACAAGGTTTGTTTTTAGAGTGAAATGTGTGAGATCTGTCTGGTGGTGGTGGGGAGTGAATAAAGGGCTTCTTAACACTATTGTTGTAACACTTCCTCAGTTTCTTATCCGTAAAATGACAATAATTGACACTATTTTCTAAGTATGATATGAACCATTATTTCTTAAAAGTTAGAATGTTGCTCTGTACATGGCCAGAGCTTATATACTCCTTATAGAAGGCTACAACTGCCACTAGAACTATTGCTCTTACTAACAATCTTACTAGTATTTATTACTTTATATATTGTGCTAGGGATATTGTAATCATTATAACGTCTTGCAGTATAGGTTTTATCTCTCCATTTTGGGTATGAGAGACTTAAGCCTTACAAGTTTAGTAACTTACTGGCTGGCACAAATGGAGCTGGATTCTCACCTTGGCCTACCTCCTGCAAAGGGCCTGCTCTTGCCTCCCTGTTGTGACTTACTGGGTGCTGGGTGATATGAGTACTCAGGTCTGGGCCCCTGGGTCAAGAAACATCACCAGGGACAAAGTGCCAGCAGGGCTTAGGCTGTAAGACTAGGGGCCCTGAGCAGCATTGGTTCTCATGGTGCTCTGGGTTTCAGGCAGAGCCTAGCAGAGTTTAGGGTGCCATAGAAACAAGGAAGCAACGAGCAGCTCTAATTCTGTCTAGGAATTGTTGGGTGTTCAGTATGGTGAGAAGTGACAAGACTATCATGAGGTCTATTTTGGGGGAGCACAAAGATTAGAAGAAAATGTTTGTGGTTAAACTGCCCAGGGAACTGCTCTTTTTACCCCTCTTGTTTCCTCTGTACCACCTCAGGTTTTGTGGGGGTGGGACTTGAGTTGTATGAGAGACAGTTTTTGGTTGACTATATTCTTAGAACCACTGTCCTTATACAAAGAAGTAACAGCTACCTTTCTCGCACAGTGGGTGATTAATTTGTGACATATTCACTGAGCCATTTGGACTGCAAAAATAAACCTTGCTAAATACATAATTGACAGTCTGGTTTCTTATCGAAGCCAAGCAGCTTAATTTCAGTTTGAGTTCTTAAAGACGTTGCTTACTAAGTTTTTTATATTCCAGGGACAAAATTGTAGTTTCAAGTCAAGATTGTCTCCAAATTTTCAGTGTTTCTTGTATTCATTTGTCATGAAGGAGATACCTGCCTTGACTATTACTATAAAAATAACCATGGAGATTACACAGAACTGAATGTATAAACTTAACTTAAATCTATGCATTAAGTAGGCATGAAAAATAAGTTTTAGTTGCTATCTCACCAATCAGAAACTGGTTATCTGGTCAAAAGCATTTTCCAATAGAAGAAATAGGAACCTATGGAGTAATACTTTGGCACCTGCAACTACCATTTTCTCAGCCGTCAGCAAACTCATAGTTATTTCACTGAGAATG